GGGAAGCATGCATCATCCAACAAACATGTGTGCAAATTTACACATTATGTGAAAGGAAATACCGTTGAACAGGTGAAGAGGGGATCAGTTCTTAATTTCAATCCTACATTTTTTAGAATAGAAGGTAACGTCTAACTTTGCACCAGCATGGAAAGGTGGAATGCTGCACCGCTTCAAATGGCGGTTTCGTGTCTTGTGAGTGCCAGCAGACTACAGCTGTCGTATTTTTGATGCTGCAAAATATGCATCACACATTGGTTCATTCTCAACCGCGCAGGCATCATGTCAGCAATCGCGCCTCAGGTAGGTCAGCAGTGTATACGATACCCATACACAACCAGGTAATTATAAAGTAAGTGACTGGAGGGCTCTGCTTGCTCCTCTTGTGCTCGGTCACGGGAAGAGTCAATTCCTCTACCAAGGTTGCACATGTTAGATGCACATCGAGATTTACAAGGACATGGGTGAGGTCTCTGGAATACCCGTTACTCATTGCTTCATCCCTGAGTGAACAATGCTTCTAGGAGAACTTGATCCGCATAGCCGTTGTTTTCGTTGTGATGCACCCATCTGCAGCAAACGAAATCGACGAGACATGGATGTTGTACTTGCGACTGTGTGTGGTTGCTGGCAATCAAAGTGCACACTTTTAGGCTGACTTCTAATTCTGATTGAATTTGAGTGCAAATTGCATGGCGTCTAGCAAATCCTTCATAGCAATGGTTCTTATTTATTTTGTGCAAATTCTTTGTTGCATTTATTCCATGGGTATGCGGGTTTGGTGGAGTTCATTGCTAGCCCACGCTCAGCGATGAGTGCATTAACAGTGCCAATCGGCATTCGTAGGACATGCTGTATGGTAGCATATCTAGTTGAGCAATTAACGTTATGGAATTTGGGCCAATGCAGCTAAAAATTTGCATCCATTTCACCCAACTGCCTTAGCCTTGACTTGACGATGCAGCAACACGTTGCTGCCGTGCACATGGCGCTTGAAGCAAACTGTCGCAAACGTTCGCACATTTATGGCCATCCGAGTGGACATCTGGGATGAGAATAAACGCTGTCGCTTTATTTGCCACACAATTTCTGCACCGTCATATAGCATTGTGCATTCGAGGTGTTTAAGCTTTTAACATTCAGCCTCCATTCGTGTTCTTTCTCCAAACTACGCATATGCAACTTTGAAGCTACCAATTCCCTGACCACACTACACGTAAATGGGGGTGTGGTGAGTTACAACGGGCACGAATGACCCCTTCTGTTTAGCGTGATAACATACCATTGATAAATCAGATATGAATGCACTCCTAATTCCTATTTCTAATCTCCATTTCCCAACTCTTTGGGCAGATCCACTATTTGGGAAGTAGTCTTGGGTATTGTGTTTTGCCATTCTATTGCACGAACTACACAACACATCGATGGACGTGTGCTGAGTATCATTAGGCACGGATGCCACCTTCAGTCAGGATTGATTACCCTCGCTGGCATAGCAAGTGTGGGCACGCTTTCGATTCCCTCATCTATAACGCACCTGCTCAAGTCGACAAGAAATGCGAACCATGATGAACGAATTCCGGGACCATCTCCTGTGACTGGATGAGCTCGACTATTCGATTGACAGCACAGTCACTTACTATTTAGTCTGCTTAATCGCGATTGTCACTCGGCGAA